TTTCTATTATGAAGGGTATTAGACATAATTAGAAATTCAATTTTGAATTTTGTTTCAATTTTGAGACGACGTATAGTTAGTTAGCTATTATCAATAAACACAGTGATTTTTAATCAATAATATTAGCATTAGTTGAAATTACGAATGGATAAATTGATATGGAATTAAGGGAAACATGTTGTGAATTTAAGAGAGTACGTCTGGCAAATAAACAGTGTACGAGCAAATTTCCTATTTCAAAGAACATATTACTTCCTTCGTTGCTTTCGCCGTATGTGGTCGTGTGTTGTTGTGAATCAGAATCACGAAACTCAACAGCCTGTCTTCTGAATTCTCTTCCCTTGGATTTTAGTTGTTGGATAACTTCAAGTTATTGAACAAGCGTCTGTTGTGCTTAGAACGGATTTTATTTCAGCATCTGTTTCCGATTACGAGCATTCATTTTTTCTTCTCAGTATTGTAGTGGAGATTGAAAGGAAAAGAATGAAATTGATGTTTCGAAATTTTTAATATCGATTTCTAATATATAGCCGATGATGTAAGCTCATTTTTAAAGTAAACAAAATTGTTTTTTTTTTCTTTTTTTTCTAGTGAAAAATGTAAATAACGGATTTAGCATACAGACTTTATTGAATGACATTCGGTTTATAGTTTCTTTAAGAATAATTCATCATAGCTTTCGTATTATATTTTTCTATGTTACATATTATCGTTCGAGAATATAAATTATAAAAATAAATTATAAATCCGAAAGAAGTATAAGTGAAAATTAAAAAAAGAAAAAAAATCGTTCGTTTACATACATTTTAAAATGGTTATTTTTATATTGTAATTATGGAAAAATAAGCACAAAGTGAAAATATAATATAATAATATATTCCATAAAAATGTATTAATCGAGTATTATTTAACGTAGATAATATTATAATATTATAAAATCAAATTGAATAATACACGGTAAAGTAGAATTTAAAAGTAATTGTCACTAATAAATGCACAAGAAGTAATGTCTCGTATATTTTAATTATATTTAAAGTAGATACTTTTGTCAAAAATAAATAATGAATAAATTTAAACTTAATATAATTTATCAAGGGAATAATATGCATTAAAAAGAAAAAATCGTTTCGCTTAAATCACTGCCTTAAAACAGATAATTTTATTTCTATAAAAATTAGTTATAATAAGAGAAATTAATATTGAAAAGATATAACAGTTTTCTTAAATTAAATGAATATGAAGAAAACAATATTTAATTAAAGAAGAAATTAGGAATACAGTTAGAAACTCATTATACGATAAATTATAAATATAATGCTTTTAAATATATTTTATTTACAAAGTATTGTAAATTTTGCCTGATATTTTAGTTAGTTTTAGATTATCCATTCTATTATATTCGTAATTATAATTTTTAATGTAATATTACATACCTTATTCGATACAATAATATTATAAATTTAAAAGCCGGAAAAATAGAGGGAAAATATCTTCTCTATTAGAAAAAGGATAAAAAAAAACACAGACAAGAAAGATAATGGTGAAACTTACGAAATTGCAAATAGTTGGGATTCAAAATGTAAAGTGTATACTCCAATTGTGGTCCACGTGTTTTCGAAATTTCATGCGTGGCTAAACTATAGTTCGTGGTACAAACGGGACATTACATATTGAGTAAAGCTAATACGTAACCTGATTTATTTAATTTGATTGAACTTAAATTCAACTAATCACTAAATGGTATCAGTTTTTACAAATCCCCCATTGTTTAAAGTTTTATTGAAAATAAAATAGCTGGTTAATGTCGAATGGATAAGTATAAAATAATATTCTCAAAACATAAATGAAACAGGATTATTTGTAATTAATGTATTATAATATTTTATTAGAAATTTGTAATAACTCGAAGTAGTATATTTAATGCGATATTCTACAGAATTAAACAAATAATTAATAATTTTTGTTGATTTATAATTAGCTTTTATAGTATATATATATATATATATATAATAGAATTACTCAACAAAATTTATGCTATGTAAGTCGTTTATTTCATCAAAGTGAAGTAATTTTCATTAAATTTAATCTATATAAAATAATTCATATATATTCCGATTATTGATTCATTTACTTCAATTTTTAAATATTTCCGTAGTTATTTAATTTTTGAAAATAATTGTCATAAAATGCTATAAAAAACGAGTATCTGCCGTTTAATTCTATTACCATTAATATCTATTTTATTCTATTACATTATTATTATTATATTATTTTAAAATTATATTATATAATAATAATATAATAATAAATAAATACTATACTTTTACAAAACGTACGTCTAAGCTTATAAAATTTTCAGCGTAAAACTTAGAATTCATTATTTTCATATTTTCATATTTTCATAAATTATGCCAACGCTATACTGCATTTATTCTTCTTTATTTAATGTATACTATATTATGAATTATTGATAATGGAATTTACGACTTAAATAAGTCATTCGTTTTAATAAAAAAAAAAATATATATATATATATATATATATATATATATATATATTAACTATTTAAACAACAATAATATGAATCGAAGATATATAAAAATGAATATTAAAATATTCTAATGCCATATTAATAACGGTAAAGCATAATATTTCATATGGGAATCTTATTTATAAGCTTTTTACTTAAAAAAATATATATTATTTAAGGGGTAATTGTATTTAAGGGGAGTTATAATTTAAGATGGAATTGTAAAAGCCTCTTATATAAGTAAATATATGAGGCACAATGAAAAATAGTATCCCATTCACCAGGCAGTCAAAATGGCGTTATACTTCCTGGCAGCATAAGAGGTCGGATCATTTCTCACCTAAGAGACTATCCAATTGCCTATAAGACGCAGCTTCTCCATTTACAAACTAATTCTAGTGCATAGTTTTGTTAATGTTGCTGGACAACGTCGAAAGTTTGCTGTATCTCCACTACACAGACTATAGAGATTTCGACGTGAGCCTCCCCAGATCGATTGATAGTTCAGGTAAACAGCAACTAGCACCACATCCGTGTACGTCTTCCTCTTCCATTTACTGCTGAAAATGACGATTTTGTGCAAACGGCCGAGACTTTCCGCTCTAATTTCTCATATGATATTTCAGATTTAGCAAAGAATTCCATTTGAAAAATTGATCCATATCGGCATGGTCATATCACTTTCTATATAATTAGTGTGCGACCGTAAGATCATGGAATGCCTAAAGCTATAACCTTCCAGGGCTTCTGTAGATCGTTCACTAATATTCCAAGTCCGTTGACTACAGTTGTGATAACTTAGGAATCTTCTCACGCTACTCGATTCCTTAGGCTCGTTCATTAGGACATAGATAATTGATTTCTGGCTGTTCTTAATTAGAGCGCCGCTGGTGCGAGTCTTTTTAGTGAATCGTTTCTGGATCGGCTCTATTTGAGATCGAGTATTTCATTATATAACACAGCGACCATTAGTAAAAGCAAAACAAAGAACTCCTTTTTTTTTTATTTACTAGTAGTTCCGTTTTGCTAGAGAGAATTCGGTCAAAGCGAAACATATTCCGTTTCTTCCTCCAATTTGGACAAATTAGTCCAGCAATGGTCCAATCGATTCGCAAGAAGAAACGCGAATGTTGATCCGATCGACAGAGCACCAATAGCACTTGAAACAGTCTTTTGACCTCTGGGACGCTGCTTACTCCGAACGATGCCAATGTCAAGGCTTATTGATGACAGGAGCGTCACCACGAAAGTGCGACCCTTGGAGAATCGGTGTCATACTCCCGCAACCAATAAGGTACGTCGAGAAATGTGGGAAAATCCTTTTTGGATTGGAGCGTCGGCGTATCCAGAACTTCTTGCACGTGCCCATGCTTGACCTCGTTTCTTTACGAAGTAATCACGTGCTTCGTGCACTTTAACTTCGTCCTTCCTAAGAAGCTCTTTTCTTCGGCACACGTAAGTCCATACGTGCTCAAACCTACGAATATTAAAGCCAGATGGCTTATGTATTTTGTCCAAGTCCTCGAGTTAACAGAAATGTCATCGGAAATGTCAATCGGACATTTGGCATTCCAGCATTAATGCAACCGGGATCTCTCGCAGGTGCGTCGATGCCTTAAAGGCGAAACAGCGTCAGCTCGAAAGTATTTTATCCTTCTTTGGGAGCAAACCACTTCAATGATCCAACATCGACAGAGTACTAGTATCATAAAAATTCTTCGGTATTTTATGGATAGTGGATAGGGGTTAGATCGAACCCTCTATAAAAACGAAATATCCCCCTCATTTTCATCCGTATGTCTATCGGTAACAACTTGGATAAGGTTATCATTTGCGCCCTTTTCATCTCTTTCTATACGGCCCTTTTTCCAACGTCGAATATCTATACGACGCCAATTTGATAGGGCCCATAATTCTTTAAAACCAACCGCTGTCCTTAAAAATTTCGGAATATCGTGGATGAGGTCGTCAAGTGGTATCACACCGTAAAATCACAGAACACAAACCGATGCACATATTCATTATTTTTATAGTCGTGTCATTGTCATGGAGGGACTCTACTAGCACAACCAAGTGTTCCACAAACTTTATAGCGATTACTTGTTAATCCAATTTCATCGTCTCGAGACAAAATCTGCAATTGAATCCCGACGATGGTATCCTTATCGACTTTTAACAGTAGGTGCGACGCTAGCGGGTGTCGTTTCTCGAGCTTCAAACTTCAAAGTTTGAGCTTCTATTTTTCTTCATGTGGCTAACCATACAATTGAAAGGCGCAAAGACTCGTCATCAAGTTTTGATTACTCTATTTACGTCGCAGAAATTGCTTCGGCTCATCCCCGGCGGGCATCGATACAGCCCGACTCTATTCCGTCTCGGACTCGATGAGGTCCGATGGGTCCTGTGCGCCGTCTGACGCTCATGCGACGAACTCTACTGCGGGACCTGATTGATAAGGAAGTTTACTGACCCATTTTTGTGCCACTGTCCTCAAAATAGCCGATCGATCTTGTCGATGAAACATAATGATTCTACTGGTGATCATTAGCTCTCCCGCTGCTACTCTCCAACTTACAACTTTTATGCAAATAAGCGTAAACTATTGTAAATTTGTCACTCGAGTTTTCATAAACTTTTACGGCCCAGACGTAGTTGGATGATTTTCATATTTCACGTTAATCTCTAATAAATACGATAAAAATAATTATCTTTTCGAAATGCTTTTTCACTTTCTAACATTTCGATCGAATAAACTTATAAAATAGTATTATTATTAATTGTATGAATGTGGCGTCTGCAATATTATTGAATTTTTCTATATAATATTAACTGTGTTAACAATTTCATTATAAAAAGTTTCTATTTTAAAAGTTTCAAAATATGAAATTGCACGGATGGTGATATATATATATATATATATATATATATATATATATACATATATCACAAATGTAATGTAATTTTGTTGCGCTATGCATAAAGTTTTATTCTCATTTTAAATTATCTATTTTTATTTTAATAGTAATAACAAGTATTTTCACTTTTTATTTCGTAATTTCTCGCACGATATTATAGCTAGTTTTACCGAGCCATCATTAGTAGTTATAAAGTTTTTAAAACGTTGGGTACTTTTTAAATTTTATACTTTTGAATATGTAAATGGTTTTGAATAAACATAAAAGTAAGTATATAGTTTTGTGCATGATAATACAACGTTCATTTTATTCCACGTGAAATTATTAATTATACGTCATGTACACAATGACGAATCTGACTAATTATGTATTATTAAAAGATTTTTAAGATTCAAGAACGATAATTTATTTTTATCTCTACAATTCATATTTCTGTTTTCTAGAAATAATTAAAAGTAGTTTGAGTATCGAATTAAAAATATCATGGAGTATAAGAGAAAATAGAGTCGGAAATAGAAGAAGATGGAATGAAAGTAAGTGAGAATGGGAAGAGAGAAAGAAGATTGAGGTAATGGGCAAACGGTAAGGTGAAAGGAGAATAAAAAATTAAGAATTAAAAAAATTTTGTTTATTTAACAAGAGAGAAAAACTAAGTTTCAATATTGGTATTGGTAATGATAGATAATAATTATATTATATGCATTTTCATACTATGGCAATAGTTAACATATGTAATTATAATAGCATTATATTGTATTATAATGTGTAAAAATTTATTCGTATAATAATAATTGGATACGTAAGGGATATAAAAATTATACGTAGCATGTGTTACGTAACATACAGTATACTTTTAATATTATGTACGTAGAGATGTATAATGTATATATATATATATATATATATATGTATAATGTATATATATATATATATATATATATAAGGTTTACCATTATGAGAATATCGAATTAACATATTTTTACATATGAAGAAAAGAACTTTAAATATTGAAATGAACTGGCATATAAATCATGCATTATGAACAATATAACAATACCCATAGTAAATAGCATTAGATAATTTGTTGAAGTAGAATTAATTAAAGAATCGATGTAAGGAAAAAGCAATTTGTGTGCTTATTAATAAGTTATTACAAATATTCGAAAGCTCGTACATTCCAAAGTTAGATTAAATTAACTTAAATGGAGATATGTAATTTTGATAACGTCAATTATACATTAAGCTCATTGAATTAAATTCTAATTATTGTTAAAAGAAAGAATCGATTTTTCCTAGGCAATTGTGACATTAATACATTTTTCATAACAATAATACTATGACTAGTTTATATAATTATTAAAATTTAACTATAAAAATTAAATTTAATTAACATTGATTTTGTCATATTTGAATTATCAATGGAAATTATTTTTTTATCTATACGAACTTAATTCAATGTGGAAGCAATTATTAAATGCTTTATTAATTTGATTTAGAATTCTTTCCGCTCTGCAGTAACGTATGTTATACTATAAAAATTATCGATAAACATAAATACTGATTGAATTTTCCAACTAATATAATAATAATTCTGAAATTCGTATTATCATGAATAATAATATTACAGTTAATAATTCGAGCTAATGAAAGTATTTTACAAATTTTAAATCGACAGAGTTTAGATTAAGTCCAGCATTAAAGATAAGTTTGTTTGACTATATTATTTTGATAGTTGGATAAATTTTTGGTAGTGTGCAGTGACAAAATATCAATAGTATATTTAAAATATCAATAGCTTTATACTTTTGTAATAATATAATTATAAATTATATAATTATGTATTTTTATAATTATATATATATATATATATATATATATATATATATATATATATCTTACACGTAAAACTGAAAATGAAAAAATTATAAAACGAATAAAAATTGAATAAAATACATAATTTAACAAAACTATGATTTATTACCATATTATTTGCAAGTCTATAAATTATGAAACAGAAATTGTATTTATTTAACTATTATACACAATTTATCTCAACATATAACTTATTGAAATCAAATACTTAAAATATAATACACCATTCATTCTTTTTTATTTATTTATTTACTTATTTATTTTATTTTCTTATTTCAAAAAAAAAAAAAAAAAAAAAAAAAAAAGAAAAAAAAAAAACAATAATAAGAACTTTAGTTATAACTAATGTTATACTTACGATCGGACAATGTGCAATATCTCCGTGTACGTGACGAAGGACAAAGGAAGATTAAAATGAACTAAAGAGAACGAAACGCAAAGAGTTTATCTTCTTTACAATTGAATATTCTGCGAACAGCTATCCCAAGTCGCACGAAAATCACGTGGAAACAAAATCGAGCGAACAACACTGCCGTTGAAGCGATTGCCGTGTCGAAATAGAAATGAATAATTTTACGCAGAGGCGATACGTAGCGAATTAACTATGATTTCCTTGGAGAGCAGCGCAAGTATATATTAAAGACTGTGGAGCGGGTGGCGGTAGCTAAGATGCGAAAGAGTCTATCGTGTTACGTGTCAGTGGAGGAGAAATGCATCGTAGCATGAACTGTCCGTCGACGCCTGTTACTTGTAATACTCGCAAATCTCACGCGATGCCAATCGCTCGAGTTTTCACGTACTCAGCCAACTTCTCCCAAGTACACCGTCTCTTCCACTCGAAGCAAGAGTCGTACTGTCAAAGTCATGCGACCAACGGAAATTGCGGACGTGGCTGCTGCAACTACAGCGACAATTGCGTACTTTGAGTAGGACGAACGGACATACGTAGGACATACTAACCGCTCCCGAATCATCTTCTCCCCCTCTCCTTTATATTCTACATGCTTTAAACATTACACTATCAATGCATCCACATACACACACGTATATAGTTATGGATGTATATAAATAGAAATCCGTATATATATATATATATATATATATATATATATACATATTCATATTTATGCCACACACTCGTATATACATATAGTCATCAATTAGCTTTACCCTTTGATGTGACGATGAGTATATTCACGCTGCCGTGCATTATCAGCAGAAATTCATTTGTGCATCCTTCGAACGATTCTAGCTACTGCTTGCATCATCGAAAATAGCACAATTGTAGGACGGTAGACGTGTCATCGATTCTGCAGTATCGTTCGACGTCCAGTATGGAATAAAAAATTGGAAGTGTAACAGTTTTTTACAGTAGCTAAAGCAACGAAGAATAAATTTTTTAAAATATTTTGATAAAACTACGAATGTATATATATACGCGTTTTATTTATAATTAATTGAATTGGATATAGTTAAATCTTCGAATTCTTAATATTATCAAGAGTAATAGATTTTTGTACTATATTCTCATTGTAATATTTTGCGAATTTTAACCGAGAATTATATTAAAATAAATCATTCCGTAAAGCGTTATATCGAGTTGTTATCGCTGAACTCAAATCTATATTTTAAGCCCCACATACGATATATTCGGCCTGCATATTTCATTAAATTAGTAAAAAATTTCTATATGAATTTCTATATGAATTTCTATAGGAGTTTCTAAATGAATAATAAGCATAAATTATTAATATACAGCAGAGTAATGAAACTTCTCCACTATATTAATATTAGATTTTAGTATTTAGGATATATTTTACAAAAGCTTAGTCGTTTATAATTTTTTTATAGGATAATAACTAAGCGATGAGTCGATTTATAAATGCATAAGTAATTTTTATAAGCAAATCCAACTGATTCGCATTTACGTTTTTGTTTTTTTGTTTTTGTTTTTTTTTTTTTTTTTTTTTGTATATATATGTTTAATCAAATTGACTTTAATTTAATTTTTTTGTTTGTTTCGTTTCAATGTATTATTTATTCTTTATTTTATTGTAGAACATTAATTATTATCTTACTAATTATAAATTATAAACTTCAATAATTAAATTAATTATGTATTTTTAACTAAAATTAACCTAGGTAACTTACAGTATTAAGCGGCTGACCTACAAAGATCTATGCTCATTCTACTCCTGTCTACTTTTATCATTTATGTAGAATTATTTTCTTTATTTATACAAATTCGTGTTATTGTTAAGGAAATTCATAAGAAAAATAAAAACTCTTAAATCGAAAAGTTTTCCATTTAATTTTGTTTTTCCGCAAAAATGTCATGTCAAAATAACAAATTTCAAATTCTCGCTTGTTATTTTAAAGATAATTAAAATATGTTTCTTTTCGTTCAATGCTCAATTAATATGATGTAACATAGGGCCATGATTTATGGAATAAGAGTACAATTTTAAAATTTATTGATAATTTCAAAATGTTACTGCATTACCTTAAATCGTAGCCATCGATGTTATCATGAATCATTTAATAATGAATTTTGCAAATAAGCTGATAAAATCAATATTTTTCAAATTCCATGGAAAAAATACACTCCAACATTATAGGCACTATAAACTAAATTAAGATGTACTATATATGCAATAGATAAATTTAAGTTTATCACTCTTCGGTAT